CCCTGCCGAGCCTAGGCAGTGGGCCGACATCTGTCAGGAAGGTGGCCAAACGGCCCCTGGAGGGCCCCAAGAGGCCCCAGACGCCCACCAGACGCCCGAAGACGACCCAAAGACCCCAAAGAAGCTTTCGAAACGCAGAAACAAAACATTAGTGTTACATGTTTTGTTTGTATTATTTTGGGACCCCCCTGCTCTTCGGTCTTCCGAGGGGTCCCCGACCGCTCCAAGATGGCCCGAAGAGAAAGCCCCGTGACGGCCCAAGATGGCCCCCCGACGCATTCCACATGGTGACCTGGCTGCTCGGGGAGACCGCGGTTGGAAGCACGGTTGCCCGAGGAAGCCCCCAAAGACTCCCAGAAGGCGCCCAGGAGGCCTCCGGACGGCCCCCCAAAGCGTTAAACAACTGCTGTGAGGCCGCCAGAGGGCTCTCCAAGGAGGAACCTCCGCCAAAAGATGTAAGGAGGATGGGGAATAATTTGCAAGGCAGCGCGAGAATAAATGATGGGAAGAGTAACCATGATGAAGGACGGTGAAACACATTATTGAAACGGCGATGTCGGAAAATGCAACAAGGAGGTCTCGCCAAGTTGTCAGTTTTACCTTCCTGCCCTTCCGCCTGCATGTCAAACTTCAACGATCAAGGTAAATTGCGCGAAGCGGCAATGCAGTCTTGTGGTATACATATATGTATAGGTCGCCCTACTAGAACCATCGCGCGCGTTTCGCGCGCGCTCAAGTTCTAGCTAGGCTTGATCGGCTAACTCATGTAATCCTATTTTGGTCGCTTCTTGCGTCCAGGGACTCCCTTGGAGGCCCTGCGCAAGCCTCGGAATCGTATAGAAGGGGAAGTGAGGGAACGCAGAAATCATTAATTTCCTTAGGTATTCAACAATGGGGGGCCCTCAAAGGCTTCCTGCGTTCTTTTCTGGGAAATGAGAGAGTCTGAATCGTGGCCCATTGTGCAACAGTAGACCGGGGGCCAAACTTGGCAGAAAATTAATAATTGTGGGACTTCCATGTTTTCCAATTCCTCGGCGCTGTTCGGCGCTGTTTTTTGTTTGTGCCTCGCGGGATTTGTTAGCCGGGCCCCTCAGGGGTGTGGGATCTTCCGGACCGAGCCGTCGGAAGGGTGTCTCGGGCTGCGCGGGAGCGTGTTGGGCCGTTCTTTACGTTCTGGGGGCTCCTTGGGGTAGTCTTGGGCTGTCCTTGGGCGTCTTGGGGCCCCCCGGGAAGCCGGGAGGCGCGGTACCGGCCAGATGTCAGGGGATGTGTGTGACCTCCGAGTAGGAGTCCACTTTGAAACATTATCCCGGCAAAGCAACCTAACAGCGATGTGTAGGAGCATATCTGGAGGCATTACATTCCCCTTAAGATTCAGATGAGAATCCTGTTGTAGAATTCTGCTGTTCTCGCAGTCGTAGTCGCATTCGCGATGACAGTCGCAGTGGCAACGGCAGTCGCAGTCAGCCTCAGCCTCAGCCTCAGCCTCAGCCTGCCTCAGCCTCAGCCTCAGCCTCAGCCTCAGCCTCAGCCTGCTTCAGCCTCAGCCTCAGTCTGCCTTCAGCCTCGGCCTCAGCCTCAGCCTGCCTCAGCCTCAGCCCTGCATCAGCCTCAGCCTCAGCCTCAGCCTGCCTCAGCATCAGCCTGCCTCAGCCTCAGCCTCAGCCTGCCTCAGCCTCAGCCTCAGCCTGCTTCAGCCTCAGCCTCAGTCTGCCTTCAGCCTCGGCCTCAGCCTCAGCCTGCCTCAGCCTCAGCCTGCATCAGCCTCAGCCTCAGCCTCAGCCTGCCTCAGCATCAGCCTGCCTCAGCCTCAGCCTCAGCCTGCCTCAGCCTCAGCCTCAGCCTGCTTCAGCCTCAGCCTCAGTCTGCCTTCAGCCTCGGCCTCAGCCTCAGCCTGCCTCAGCCTCAGCCTGCTCAGCCTCAGCCTCAGCCTCAGCCTCAGCCTCAGCCTGCCTCAGCCTCAGCCTCAGCCTCAGCCTCTCGGCCTCAGCCTCAGCCTGCCTCAGCCTCAGCCTGCCTCAGCCTCAGCCTCAGCCTCAGCCTGCCTCAGCCTCAGCCTCAGCCTCAGCCTCAGCCTGCCTCAGCCTCAGCCTCAGCCTGCTTCAGCCTCAGCCTCAGTCTGCCTTCAGCCTCGGCCTCAGCCTCAGCCTGCCTCAGCCTCAGCCTGCAGCCTCAGCCTCAGCCTCAGCCTGCCTCAGCCTCAGCCTCAGCCTCAGCCTCAGCCTGCTTCAGCCTCAGCCTCCTGCCTTCAGCCTCGGCCTCAGCCTCAGCCTCAGCCTGCTCAGCCTCAGCCTGCCTTCAGCCTCAGCCTCAGCCTCAGCCTTCAGCCTGCCTCAGCCTCAGCCTCAGCAGCCTCAGCCTCAGCCTCAGCCTCAGCCTCAGCCTCAGCCTCAGCCTCAGCATCAGCCTCAGCCTCAGCCTGTCTCAGCCTCAGCCTCAGCCTCAGCCTCAGCCTCCTGCTCAGCCTCAGCCTCAGCCTGCTTCAGCCTCAGCCTCAGTCTGCCTCAGCCTCAGCCTCAGCCTCAGCCTGCCTCAGCCTCAGCCTCAGCCTCAGCCTCAGCCTGCCTCAGCATCAGCCTGCCTCAGCCTCAGCCTCAGCCTGCCTCAGCCTCAGCCTCAGCCTGCTTCAGCCTCAGCCTCAGTCTGCCTTCAGCCTCGGCCTCAGCCTCAGCCTGCCTCAGCCTCAGCCTGCCTCAGCCTGCCTCAGCCTCAGCCTCAGCCTGCCTCAGCATTCAAAATGTGGCCCGGGAATGGAGTTCTGGGAACTCGAAGAACACGAAGTGGCCTACAGTTGGCTCCGGGCATTCAAAACCATGCCCAGGAATGGAGTTCTGGGAACTCGAAGACCACGAAATGGCCTACGGTTGGCTCTGGGCATTCAAAATGTGGCCCGGGAATGGAATTCAGGGAACTCGAAGAGCACGAAGTGGCCTGCAGTTGGCTCCGGGCATTCAAAATGTGGCCCGGGAATGGAGTTCTGGAAACTCGAAGACCACGAAGTGGCCTACAGTTGGCTCCGGGCATGTGGCCCGGGAATGGAGTTCGGGGACCTCGAAGACCACGAAGTGTGAAACTGTTGGCTAACAAAAATCCCCGGAATCTCCCCGGAACGCGCCCAGACCCCCCTGGGGCGTCATGATGCTCTCTCTCTTTTGACCCTACTAGAAACCTATCAGTCTTCGCTGTTAGGTAAAAAATCTTGGAAATCATTTTTTTCCCAAAATCATCGATCTTCGAGGGTTGGAAGCGGGAAAATGTGAGAAGGCGAATGACATTAGAAAGACCTTCGAAAATCAAAGATTTTACCCTCTTTGGGCTTTCTCGGGACGGCCCTCGCAGCTCTCTTGGGCTGTTCTTGGAGCTTCGTCGGAGTCTTTTTGGGGCCTCTCAGGGATCGGGGGTGTGTTGGGGGCATCTGGGGGGTCCCCGAGGCCTCTCGGAGGTCTCCGGAAGCCTCCTGCTCCTGCTCTTGGGCCCATCTTGGGCCTGTTCCGGGGTGGTCTGGGGCTGTCCTGGGCGCCTCTTCGGCAGTCTTGGAGCCTTCTTGGCCCGTCTTGGGGACGTCCTGAGGGTCTCTTGGGTGGTCTTGGGCGGTCTTGGGCGGCTCTTCGGCGTTCTTGGAGCGTTGGAAGCTCGAAAACGCGAGAAGCAAAAAACATTGAAAACAACCAATGAAAATCTACGATGTTGTCCTCTTCGGGCCGTCCCGGGACGCCTCTCGGACCTCTCTTGGGGTCTCTTGGAGGCCACCTGGGAGCCTCGAGAGCCGTCGGAAGGCTGTCTTGGGCTGCTTGGGAGCGTCTTAGGCCATCCTTTCGCATTCTGGGGGCTCCTGGGCGGCGTCTTGGGCCCTCCTGGAGCGCTGTGGAAGCTCCCCGGAAAGGCCGAGAGAGCGGTACCTAGAGCGTTCCCGCGATGTTCCGGGGAGGTGTGGGACCCGGGGCCGGGTGGTGGTGGTATTTATCTGTACTATGTCTACAAACGTTTCGCCTGGCTCTTCCTCACGATGTGTGATCATCACGCTCGGCATTTGGAACAGCTTCAAAAATGGAGGGCGGGCTGTTTTCAAAATGTGGCCCTAGCCTTAGCGCCGCGCGCTTTCTTCTCCAAAGTTTGCAGCGGTTTTTCACAGATGGCTGGCGGTTCCTTTTCACAATGCGGTTCTCGCATTAGCGCCGCGCATCCGTGTCTTAAGAGTCTGAAGCATTCTATGAATATTCGCATGGCTGACGTGCCAGGAACGGTGTTCTGGACACATTTAGGATTGCCAGGGCGCAGCAATCACGTTGATTCGCGGTGCTCAAATCAGAGGAGTGGTGTTCTGACATAAATTAGGGCTGTCAGAACGCAATTCCCTGCGCTGAAATGTCAGGAATTGTGCTTTGGCGAGATGGAAGATTCTCAGGCGGTTGTCCTCCAATGGGGTACTCCCCGCAATGAAATTAAATTCTTTTGGGTACCTGTGAAGAGGGAACTTGGACGGAGGGTTTATTGCAACACAGGCGTCTTGGACTTCTACTGGTCCTTCACCTTCTCCTTCTCCTTCGGCTCCCGCTGCTTCTTCTTTCATCGCTCCTCCTTGCTCCTCCTCCTCCTCGCTCCTCCTTGCTCCTCCTCCTCGCTCCTCCTTTTCCCTCCTCCCCCCCGCTCCTCCCTCCTCCTCCTCCTCCTCCTCCTCCTCCTCCTCTTCCTCCTCCTCCTCCTCCTCCTTTTCCCTCCTTCTCCTCCTCCTCCTCCTCCTTTTCCCTCCTTCTCCTCCTCCTCCGATCCTCCTCCTCCTTGTCCCTCCTTCTCCTCCTCCTCCTCCGCCTTTTCCTCCTCCTGCTTTTCCTGCTCCTCCTGCTCCTCCTCCTCCTCGTCTTCCTCCTCCTCCTACTCCTCCTCCCCATCCTCTCCCCCTCCTTCTCCTCCTCTCCTCCTCTCCTCTCCTCCTCCTCCTCCTCCTCCTCCTCCATCGTCCTCCCTCGTCATGTCCTGCTGCGTCTCCCCCCCCCCCGCACCTGCCAGTGCCCGAGCTCCGGCCGGTGCACGGGAGCCCACTGCAGGGCCGAGGCCATTCTGCGCTCGTCGTGGCCTCCGAGGGTGATCTCGCTGGGCAGCTCGTCGGTCCTCCACCAATGGCAAAAAAACAGACCTCCTCGCGTCGTGAAAAAACGCAACGCCCTCAGATCTTGGCGCTGCAATATTTTCACAACGAGCATTTTCGCCCAGCTTTGGGTCGCGGTGCCCTCGCAGATCGATCCGGCGCGACAAATGATGCAGAAAGATGATGTCCGGGGCTCCGGTCGTGATTTTTGCGATGTTGCAATTTTTGCGCCACGTCGGATGTGAGGGAGGGAAATTTTTCAACGTTGCCGACTCTGGGAGCCCTCGCCGGGGGCTCCAGGACCGTCAACAAAAACTACTTGGGATGAAGAACTGGCCCTTGGCAATGGGTCGAGACCTCTGGGGGTCGACGTTATGACAACTTGATGGCGTCGGGGGTCTGGGAACCCAAATCTCTCCGACAATATGTTTCACCACCTAGGGAGGGGGTCGGGACCTCCTGGGTCCGAGTACTCAAGAAAAACATCGGCAGATGCCTGCCATCATAAACCTTTACCCCCGCCAATCTGCTCTTTCCAATCCGCGTCCCCAGATGTCACGACCGCTTCCCTGGGGGAAGTCTTCGTTCTGGATCCCCCTTTGATGGCCCCAGGGCCCAAAAACGGCCGCCGGGGGCCGAAATCACTGACGAGGACGCCGGCTGCAAGAATCTCATCGTCAGAGACCTGGGACCTCTCGGAGGCGCAGAGGCCTCCAGAGGCCCATGAAGGGCACGGATCGTCCGCAGCCTGCAGGCCTCGGTCCTCGATGCGGCGAGCTCGTGTCGTGTCGACCCCGGCGTTGGTTCCTGACACCGCGGGGATCGTTCAACCTTGAACGATCGGCGATTTACGAAATGTCAGATGGTTCAACATCCACCGATTCTGGGTCGCTGGCGGCCGTTAACTAGAAAGAAACGAAAAACGGCATAAACATAAGCTTTTGGCGCTGGGCGCGGATTTCTTGGCTCCGCGCCGCACCCCCCTCCCTGGCGCGCGGAGCGCGCCAGGGGCGGCGCTGGAGGCGCCGCCAGGGGGGCCCAGCGCGGATCCAAGAAATCCGCGCGGAGCGCCAAACGTTTCTATGTATGGTTTTTTTGTTTTCCTTATTCGAGTTTAACGTTGAACATAACGGGGAAAAACCCTGACACTCCGAGCCCTGGGCCTCCATACGCCCACACAAGGCCCCAAGACCCCCCCAAAGGAACGCCAAGAGGTCCCCAGAGGCCCCCAAGAAGCCCAAAGCAAGCCCCACGATGCCGCCAAGAGGCCCCAAAGCTGCCTCCAAGAGGAACCCCAGACGCCTCTGAGCCATTACCCAGGCACAGGCACGGTGGCGGATTTCGCCCAAGGCCATGATGCGTGCCAGAAGGTCATCTGTCTTGAAATGTCCACCGGGCTCTCCAGGCCGCCCTGCGAGCCCCCAGGTCGCTCCGAGACGTCTCAGAAACGCCCACGAGGGCGCCCAGACAGACCAAGAGGGACCCAACCGAGCCCCAGGTCGGCCCCAGAGGCCTCCAAGGCAGGCCAGGAGGCTCCCAAGGCGGCCCAGGAGGACCCCCAGGAGGGACCCAAGAGGCAAACATTGCCCCCTTCCTTTCGGAAAACGTATATTGTTTATATGCTCGCTCTTCTCGTCTTCACCGCGTCCAAGACGGCTATACAGGCCTTCCCGATCGCCCCAAGACGCCACCAGAGCACCCCAGGAGGGCCCCCAAACGGCCCGAAGCGGGCCCGCGACGGCTCCAGAGTGCCCACCCAGCCGTTGGCTGGGGCTGCGAAGCAGCTCGTCGTCGTCGTTGTCGTCGTCGTCGGCGGCGGCGTCGTCGTCGTCGTCGTCGTCATCGTCGTAGTCGTCAACGTCGTCAATGTGGTTGTGGTCGTCGTCGTGGTCGTGGTCGTGGTCGTTGACGTTGACGTGGTCGAGGTCGTGGTGGTGGTGGTGGTGGTAATCGTCGTCGTCGTCGGAGATGCGGGCGTCTGGAGGCCTCCAGAAATTTTCAGAGACCTCCTTTGGGATCTCCATCGACCTAGAGGGTCGAAGAACAAAAGACGGCGTATCAAGCGATCTTGCACTGCCCCTGGGTGCGTGACTGAAGTGCGGTTCTGCGGTGTCGATGAACGATCTCCTTCGTGTTGCCGGCCCCCGCCCCGCGACCCAACCCCGACACGCCCCGCGACCCACCCGCGACCCGTGCCGCGATTCACCCGCGACCCGTACCGCGACCCACCCTCGAGCCAGCCGCGACCCGACCCGCGCCTCGCCCCGCGACCCGTCCATGGCCCACCTGTTCGCGACCAGAGCAACCGCGGCAGCGGCAAGCCTCTCCACGCGTGCCTCTCCGAGCCCCGCAGGCTGCCGACGAAGCCTCCGCCCCACCGCGCTCACCCGCCAGCGCGGGGGCTGTGGTGCGCGAGCCCTCGGAGCTCCGCGCAGATCCCTGGGGGCGGCGCTGGACCCTCCCCCCCCCCAGACGTGCGGCGTCCCGGCTTTTTCACCACGGGGCCCCCCGGAGTCCCGACCCTTGCCCCGGGACCGGTCTCCCGTCCCCCGTCGTTTTCGGAGGGCCCCGAGGCCCGGCGAGGGCTCCCGGGGTCCGAAAGCTGCCAAAGACCGCCCGTCCGGATTTGTTTCACGACGCGTTTTTTGCTTCTCTCTTTGGGCCTGGCGCCGCCAGAGGCGCCGACGCAGGCAGCGGGGGTGCGGACCTCCGAGGGCGTATGCGCTCCTCGGCGCTGTGCCGCTCGCTCCTCGGCCTGCTCCGCGGGGTGCAGACGCCCCTCGTGGCGAGGAGGGAGGGAGGGTAGGCAGCGCGGTTGCCAAAAACGACAATCACGCGCGCGCGCTCTCTCTCTCTCTCTCTCTCTATATATATATATGCATGTACACCACTCTCTCCCTCTCTCTATACCATCCTCTCTCTCTCTTTCTCTTTCTCGCTGTTTTTCTTGTCGTTGTTCTCTCCCTATCTCTCTCTCGATGTGTCTCTCTCTCTCTCTCTCTCTCTCTTGATCGATCGATCCACCGAGGGGGAGGATGGATGGGGAGGTCGGTGGAGGAGGAGGAGGAGGAGGAGTCGCTCCTCGAGAGGAAATAGCCGAAGCGGGCGTCCGTGAGGTTGTGGAGTTTGAACAGCTGGCCGAAGAAGCTGAACTCTGGGTCCACCGCCAGCCCCTCCAGGCCCAGGCCGAGCACGCCGTCAAACTCGAAGGTCCCGAAGGGCTCTGTCGTCATCTCCTGAGCATCGTCTCGTCGATCCCTATCCCCAGACGAAGACGAAGCCAGGAAAGGGATAAATGCGGGTGAAGATGACTCGAGAATCTCTGGGACCCGGCTGCTTTGGAGGATGTATCGGGCGCCGCGGCCTTCTCGGAGCGTTCTGGACCTGGCGTCTTGATCAGCATTTTCGAGCCTTGCGTTTTTGCCGTTTATCGGGCCCCCGGGCCCTCACAGATCGATCCGGCTCGAAAAAGTGACGCAGATGGGGTCTATCTGGGTGTTTTTTATTTACGGTGTTGCAATTTTTTCGCTACGTCGGATCTCAGGGGAACATCGTGTCGTCGATCCCTATCCCCAAACCGCCTCGAGTCGTGAAAAGTCATGACGGCTGTTTTTTCTTGCCGTTTTCGGCCTCTTGGGGCCCTTGCCAGGCCGCGGGACCGTCGGAAGACGCCTCAGGATGAGAAGCGGGTCCTGGGAAATGGGTCGAGACCTCTGAGGCTCTGAGGGTCATGACGTCGGGGTCGGGATCCCCACTGCCGTGGCGCTGGTCCCGCTGGCCGATTTACCCAACTTGATGGCGATATGAGCTGCTCCATTCGGGTTTCGATGGGCCTCTTCCCAGCTGCAGGGGCGGCAAGGTGGGGCTGAGATGCGTGGCCGATTCCGGAAACTCTGGTTCCAAAAACGCTTGCATCTCTTGGGGGCGCATCTTTTGCTTCCGCCACCTTCCGCCGAGCTTCCGCCGACTTCCGCCAGCGGAATCGCCCTCGTTTTACTTCCGCCACCTTCCGCCGAGGAAAAGACGGCAACTCCTTTGGTCATTTAAGGCGAGGCCTCTTCTGGATCGCCTCACGTGGCCCAATGGGGATGGGGACCGGTTGGACGCGCAGCTGCAACGATACGTAACACGCAACACGTGGCGTGTCGACACGGAGCTCAACACGTAGACTGAAAAAGTAGGTCTGCCGCGATGCTTTCGCCGAAACGTGGGCCAGTGCGTTGAGCCAACACGCAACGTGCTGGCACGGACGTTTTGAGCCCGGCACGTGTTGCGCATCAAAACGGCCGTATCGAGGCAGCTGAGATGGAGGATCGGTTGGACGATGCTGATCTCAGGGCTGGACCTGAACGTTGCTTTTCGCTTTGTTTTCGTGTTGCTCTGCCTGTTTTCCTGTCCCTCCCCCCCAAAAGGAAACAAAAACAAAACACGGCCGAGGTCCAGCAAAACGGCGTTCAGGTCCAGCCCTGGCTGAGCTCCGTCGCCAGGACGACGCGCATCTGGATGCAGTCGGGCCCCTGCTGGCCGCCCAGGCACACCTGTAGCGGAACAGGAACCACGGCAACACACAGACTGCCGGAGGCCCTCGCGGAGTCTCTGGATCGTCGCCAGAATCGGGCGTTGCCGCAGGACGGGCATGTCCCCCTACAGGGGGATTTTGGACGAAAACTGAAAATAGCCAAAACATAAACAAACATAGCGAAAATATGCTCAACCAATCGTCCCCTGATTAACTTTTTGCTATTTGGGAATGTTCCTCCTGTAGAAGGACACGCCCGACTTATGCGTTGCCTGCTGGGGTGGCGAGACATGTGAAAAATAAGGGGGGAGAAAAAACTTGCACCTTTCGTGCCCCTGTTGGGACCGAGGGGGCCCCTTCAGGGCTCCCTTTTAGGGCACAAGAGGGGCACCATTGGTCACCGACCATTCCATCGCCCCTCCAATTACACAATGCCCGATGGAATCCCCTGGCAGCGCCTCCGGCGCAGCCCCTGGCACGCTCCGCGCGCCAGCGAGGGGGCTCCAGCGCCGATCCCAGAGATCCGCGCGGACCTCCCAGGGGCTGCGGTCCTGCCGTTCCTGCCCTCCTCGGGCACCGTCTCCCAGACGAACTCTCCCACGATCTCCCCGGTGCCGTACGCGACGGCCACCTGGTCGCGGCCCGTCGCGTTCTCCCCGACCTCCCTGCCCTCGTGGTCGATCTCCAGCGCCGTGGACGACGCCCGGGCGTCGTAGCGCCTGTGCCGCCTGCAGGTCTCCGTGTCGCAGGTGGCGGAGGGCAGGAAGAAGTGGCCGGAGCCGGTGTCGAAGAGCACGGTGAAGTCCTGCTGGGGCGACCCAAGCGAGACCTTGCCGAAGTACGCCGTCTTGTATGACACGGTGCGATTGTTCCGGACCACTGGAACGTACTGTTTGTCCAGGGGTATGGCCAGAGGAGCAAAATACCGCATGAAGCCTAAACTTTCGGAGGTCCGCGCGGAGTTCTTGGATCAGCGCTGGACCTCCGCCCTCTCTGGCGCGCGGAGCGCGCCAGGGGCGGCGCCAGAGGCGCCGCCAGCGGAGCCCCAGCGCGGATCCAAAAAATCCGCGCGGAGCTCCGAAAACTCATGCTTATGCTGTGTTTCCTTCTTCGAATGGTGACGAGCGGGTAGCCGGAGTGCCCTGGTCCGGCAGCCTCGGGCGTCTCTGCCGGGAGCGCCTTCGCCCTGGTGGCCGCAAGGCTTGCTCCATAGCCCTGCGCGGCGTCGGTGGACACGAATTGCAGGGTGAAGAAGCAGATCATGGAAGTAGCGCAAGCGCTGCAAGTATGAGAATACATTACTGTACCACGGTGAGGGCATTGGGCAAGGAACCACTGGATAAGGAATCCAGGGTCTGGAAGCCGGTGGAACTCCAATCGTGGGTTGGCCATGCATACCACCGGCGCCCTCATCGGATCAGGAATCCCCCAGGGTCTGAAGCCTCCTGGGCACATTCCTCAACTAACGCCCCCACCGTATTGATGTTTCCTCGCGAAGGGGTTTCGCAAAGGATTCGATATCGAAGTATGGTAGACCGTTGGTTTTCGCTTGAGCCGAGGTGGATGCGAATGATGATCAGGGGGAAGTGCCGCCGCGGCAGCAGCGAGATGATGGTGGTGGTGAGGAGGACCCTTACTGTAGCCCTTACTTCGGATACGCCGTCCTTCTTGAACGACTTCGCAAGTAGGCCGGGGAGTTCCAGCCCTGCGTTTCAAGCTCCTTTGATGCCGACTTTCGCGCTAGTTTGCCGTCGCTCTTTCCGTCGCACTTTGGCGGCAATGTCCGAGGTGCATTTCTCCGAGGCGGACATTTCCGCCCTCTACTTCTCCGCATCGTCCAGGGTACATTGCCGACACTAGGTTACCAACCATCTTACGGCGGATCCGGGGCTGGGGCGCGACAAGTCGGGAGGCGATCAACGAGGGGGCAGCGAGGGCTGCAGAAAGGGGCCCTCCAGGGCCTCTCAAGGGGCCCTTTAGGGCCCCTAAAGGGGCCCTTCGGGGCCCCAGAAGGGCACTTTTCTCCTCCCCCCCCCTGGTGATCGCCCCCCACCAAGATTCGCGCCCAAGGAGCCAGGGCCTCAGAGGGGCCATGTTCTTCTCCCCCCCTGTCGCCCCCCCGTCAAAGTTCGCGCCCGAGGAGAGCCTAGGGGAGGAGGAGAAGGAGGAGGAGGAGGAGGAGGATGAAAAGGAAGAGGAGGAGTAGGAGGATGAGGAGGAGAAGGAAGAGAAGGAGGGAGGAGGAGGAGGAGGAGGAGGAGGAGGAGGAGGAGGAGGGAGGAGGAGGAGGAGGAGGAGGAGAGGGAGGAGGAGGAGGCGGAGGAGGAGGAGGAGGAGAGGAGGAGGAGGAGGAGGAGGAGGAGGAGGAGGAGGGAGGAGGAGAGGAGGGAGGAGGAGGAGGAGAGGAGGCAGGAGCAGAGGAGGAGGATGGAGGAGGAGGAGGAGGAGGAGGAGGAGGAGGAGGAGGAGGAGGAGGAGAGCCCAGGGGAGGCGGGAGGCCAGGAGGAGGCAGGCCGGGAGGGCATGCCGCCCAGGGCCCCCCCGCGGCGCCCGCGCAGCAGAGCACACCCCTGCACGGCTCCGGGCGCCGACTGCGCGGCTCGGGGCGCGAGCGCAGAGAGGGCGCCGCGACCAGAGGACCCCCTCTGAGATCCTGGCGTCGCGATGGTTTCACCCGGCGTTTTCACTCCATTTCGGGCCCCAAGACCCTCACGGATCGATCTGGCTCGGATTGTGTTTTCCGAGCCAGATCGATCTGGCTCGAAAAATGACGCAGAAGGATGGGGTCTAGGGCTCCAGGCGTGATTTTCCACGATGTTGCAATTTTTCCGCTACGTCGGGTCTCATGCCCCCTACCCTGCGCGGGAAGCCCTGCCCTGGCGCCTCTGGTCCGCCGCTGCACGGCGAGGGCCGTGGCAAGCGCTGTGGCTTCCCAAGCATGATCCCGTCGTAAAAAAAATCCGGGCGGGAGATTTTTGCTAGCTTTCGGCCTCGGGGGGCCCTCGCCGGGCCTCGGGACCGTCAAAAAACGACTGGGGACGAAAAACCGGTCCAGGGGAACGGGTCGGGACTTCCAGGGACCCCGTATCGTAAAAATCAGGACGTCGCATGTCTGGGTTCGAACCATCGACCCCGAGACCCGACGTAGCGGAAAAATTGCAACATCGTGAAAAATCACCCCTGGAACCCTAGACCCCATCCTTCTGCGCCACTTTTCGAGCCAGATCGATCCGTGAGGGTCTTGGGGCCCGAAATGGAGTGAAAACGCCGGTTGTGAAAAAGTCGCAACGCCAGGATCTCAGGGGAAGATCGGCAGAGTCTGTGGATCGGCGGCCTCTCGGGTTCGAGCGGCGGTCGGGCTTCGATGGGGCGCGTGCGAGACAAGTGGAGGAGGCGGGCAGGGCAGAGGGGAGGCAGGAGGAGGAGGAGGAGGAGGAGGAGGAGGAGGAGCAGGAGGAGGAGGAGGAGGAGAGGCAGGAGGAGGAGGAGGAGGAAGGAGCTGAGCAGGAGGAGACGACCGCGCGCTGCCGAGGAGGCCCTCAGAGCGCAGATTGACGGAACACCCTTTAGCAAGCCGCCCTTTAGTGACAGCTGCCAGGTGCACCCCACGCCCTCATGGTCCCTTGTGGCAGACGAGCACAAGGAGGCGCGCGAAATGGAAGTCGTGGACCCGAGATGGAGAACCCCCCGTGCCAATCTACGCTGCTCTGCACATCCATCGCGTGGTAGAGAGCGGGCTTGCGAAACAACTGGCCGGGTCTGCACCCCAGAAAATCCCACTCTGGAGCGAAAGCGGCAGCCGAAGACGAGGAGGACGATGAGGAAACGAAGAGAGTAGAAGCACTGAGCAAACATTACATTGGGATTTCAGACCGCGCACGTTGTGGATGTTCTGACATCTCGACGCGCAAGCTTGACATGGGCTACAGGGCAACCTCCCTGGGTAGCACCCTGACGAAATGCCCTGGCCAAATAAAGTGTCCTCTCTAGCAAAACCTTCATTCGATGGGTGGCCAGCCTCAACGAAAGCGATACGACCTTGCTCTCCATCTTCCGCAGTGGCGCGGCCACCAGCGTGACGAGGAGACGTACGGGCTTTCCTTGCAAGCACGCCTGGGCCGAATGTCCTCGACACGATCGGCTTCGTCAAAGTATTGCTAACATGCATTCCCTACCAGAGGGGTTCTGGACGTTCGTCCCTCGTGTGACCACAAGTCTGGTTGGATAACGGCGCGCCAATGCAACTCGCGTCAACAACGTCCCCATATATCATATGTTGACGGCGGCCTGCAGAATGGGCGTCGGGATTCTCTCAAGATGGCATCAACGACATGCTAACTGTCCCACCTCCTCTCCCTCGGGCGGGGAGACCACTTGGGCCACCAGTGGAGTAGACTTTAACTTGTTGATCTAACCCATCAGACCTTGTTCGACTTCAACTTGGCCTAACCCTCCTGTGTTGGGTTCTCGTTTTGAATAGAGCACTGTCTGCTCCGTCCCTTCTGCTCCTCTCCTCCTCCCTCCTCCCTCCCTCGCGGGCCACGCGGGGCTGCGAACAGCGCAACTGTCGCAGCTTTCGTGGGCTCCTGGGAGGTCCCGCGGAGTGGGGGACCATGGGGATCCAGTTCGCGGCGCCCTGCGGGGGCTGCGAGGTGCGCAACGGTCGCCACTTTCGTGGGCTCATGGGAGGTCCCGCGGAGTGGGGGTTCACTAAGATAGAGTTGGGACCTCGCTGCTCCATGTGTGGAGGCTGCAAGGTGTGCAACTGTCGCCACTTTCGTGGGCTCCTGGGAGGTCCCGCGGAGTGGGGGGCCCACGCGGATCCAGTTGGGACCTCGCGGCTGCCTGGGGGGCTGCGAAGCTCGCAACGGTCGCCACTTTCGCGGGCTCCTGGGAGGTCCCGCGGAGTGTGGGGCCACGGGGATCCAGTTGGGACCTCGCTGCTCCCTGGGGTGACTGCGAAGTGCGCAACGGTCGCCACTTTCGTGGGCTCATGGGAGGTCCCGCGGCGTGGGGGTCCACGGAGATCCAGTTGGGACCTCGCGGCGCCCTGGGGGACTGCGAAGTGCGCAACTGTCGCCACCTTCGTGGACTGCTGTAAGGTCCCGCGGAGTGGGGGGCCACAAAGATCCATTTGGGACCTCGCGGCTCCCTGGGGTGGCTGCGGAGTGCGCAACTGTCGCCACTTTCGCGAGCTCCAGGGAGGTCCCGCGGAATGGGGGGCCACGGGAATAGAGTTGGGACCTCGCTGCTCTATGTGCGGGGGCTGCGAAATGCGCAACGGTCGTCGCTTTCGTGGGCTCCTGGGAGGTCCCGCGGAGTGTGGGGGGGGGGGCACAAAAATCCAGTTGGGACCTCGCGGCTGCCTGGGGTGGCTGCGAAGTGCGCAACTGTCGCCGCTTTCGTGGGCTCATGGGAGGTCCAGCGCAGTCGTCGATCGTCACGCGGACTCCGTCGAGACCTCGCGGCTCCCTGGGGGACCGCGAAATGCGCAACTGTCGCCAGTTTCCGTGATCTCCGGGGAGAAGCGGATGCCTTGGGGCAAGCGGGGCGGAGTGGAGTGCCACGCACACCTCGCCGAGACTTTGCGGCTCCCTTGCGGGGGTGGGCAGTGCGCAATTGTCGCCACTTCCATGGGCTCCTGGGAGGTCCAGCGGAGTGGAGGTGTACGTGCGCGGACCCTGCCGTTACTCCCGTGCTCCCGCTGCCGTGCTCTTCTGATCTCACTTCTGGGTGCTCATGCGCACTGCGGGTGCTTCAATATGTTCGTTTGTAGTGAGCGGTCGTGGGTGTAGTCGCCATCTGTTTGGACAGGGCTGGGCACGTCGCCGGGTAATTCTTCTTGTCCTGGCCGACTATACTGGCAGTTGTCGTGGACGGGACGCCGCATTTTTCCAGCGTGCCACGGAGGGAGGGAGAAGGGCAAGCGAGGAAAGAAGAAGACAGGGTGGGGGAGGCTGGGGCAAGCAACCACAGCACACAGTAAGGAAATAACTACAGCGCACAGTAATCAAGTAACTACAGCACACAGTAAACCCAAAGCACACATTAAGTTCCACTTGCGCGAGGCACTGGCTTCGGCGTGGACCACAGCGGGGTAGCTAACCCACGTCCAGCAACAACCGAATGTACCCGCCGAGACGCACATCGATTCGCGACACCGACTGGGGGCTGCACTGACACACTCAAATGCCAATGTCGAGTTAATTGGCACATATTCCTCAATCGACTTGTCGGGGCGGGCGTTCTCTCCATGCCCGGCATTAGAGCGAGGGCGAGATCTTGGGAGGACCGTGTTTGGGTTTTTTTCTAAATTTTTCTTGACCTCAAGAGGCCTCAGGAGACCTCTGGGGACCTCCGCAGAGACCGCATGCAGAGGATGAGGAGGAGGAGGAGGAGGAGGAGGAGGAGAAGGGCAGCAGAGCAAGACTGGGGAGGCATGGAAGGAAAGGAGAAAGAGAAGGACGATTCAAGGGGCCCAAGGACACGCACACATGAATACAGACCTCAATCCCAGGCTTCCCCATCCTCTCCCACATGCTTCTGGGCTTTTTTGCCTTCCCCCCCCCCACCTTCCCACATTTTCCCATGCTTTCCCATCTCTTCCTGGGGGTCGACGATTCGTGGTGTCTGTGTGCCTGTCTTCCCCTCCTGGCGTGGTGCCGGCGCTGGGCAGGAGGGGACTGCTGCTTTTGGCCCTGGCGCGGCGGGCTGCTGGGTGACGCCCACGGCTGCAGCGGGGCGCACGCGGAGAGGCAGCGCGGGGCTTCTCGGCCGAAAGGGATCCCGACTCCGGGTCCGCCGCGCTCCTCGGGCGATCTCGGAAGTGGGGAGGAGGAGGGGGAGGAGGAGGAGGAGGAGGAGGAGGAGGAGGAGGAGGAGGGGGAGGAGGGGGAGGAGGGGGAGGAGGAGGACGGGTCGCCTGCGCCCCTCGGAGAAGGGGCGAGGCGCGGCCACTGCCACTGGTGAGCGTTTTTTGGTGCGGAGTCTCGACACTGGGCGGAAAGGGGAGGAAGGGGGGGGTCTGGCTCCGGACCTCTGCGTAGTGCGACTGTGTGCAGCCGTGCGTCCTGTGGGGGAGGGAGACTCCACCTGCCTGAAGCAAGCGCCCAAAGACAGCCAAGATCTACTCCATGGAGGGGGGGTGGGGGAATGGGGTGTGCGAGGGACCGCGCCGATCAGCAAAACAATGAATAAAAAACGACCGCTAAGGCTGGAATTTCCGCCCTACGTTTCAAGTTCCTCCGATGTCGATGTCCGCCCTACCTTGTCGTCGCTCCTTCTGGAAAATGTGCTTGCGAGAAGATTCGCCCCTACTTTCGTAAGGCGGCGGAAATATTCGACCTACTGTTTCGCATCGTCAAGAGTGCATTCCAATTCGCTTCCAGTAAGAAAAAACGTAAAAAAAGTACAGCGGATCCGAAGTCAGGAGAGAGGAACAGAAGCCCAGACTCAGTCGTCGCGAACCGTCTCCGTCTGGAGATTCTTGAAGCTATCCACAGGCACGTGCTGGACCAGAGTGAAGGTCTTGTCCGTCGCGTCCTCGTCCTCATTACGCTTGCGGGCCATGCGCACCCGGATGCGCTTCGGGATGTTCCGGATGCCGTTGCTCCAGACGAACTTGTTCAGCTTGGTGTCGATGCGCACGTCCTGCCACGCGCGAGCCTATAGCTGCCCCTGCCGTCATAGGTCATGAGGCCCCAGGGCACCGGCGGGGAGTTCGGAAGCCCTGAGATCCGCCGTTGCAGAAAAATTGCAGCATCGTACGAAAAAAACGATTGGAGCCCCGGACCCCATCGCCGTTCTGCGTCATTTTTCCAGCCGGATCGATCTGTGAGGGTCCCGGAGCCCAAAATTGGGCGAGAACGCCGTTTGTGAAAAAATTGCAACGCCAGGATCTCAGGGGGTATCGTTCGGTCGGGCATGTCCCCCTACAGGCGGAGTTCGGTCGGGTATCGCGAGCGTGCAGGAGCGACGCGCGCCCCCGGGCGGTGCACCGGCCCGAACCGAGGGGCGGCGGGGGCAGCGCTCGGACTTCGTCGCGGACCCGGGCCTCCGACGTCGTGCCCTGATCGATGCGCGGCCCCATGCGGCCCCTGGGGCCCTCGGCCACTTCCCTGGAGAGCCGCCGTCGTCGTCGTCGTCGTCGTCGTCATCGTCGCCGTCGTCGACCACCTCGTCGTCGTCCTCGTCGTCGTCGTCCTCGTCGTCGTCGTCGTCGTCGTCGTCGACCACCTCTTCGTCGTCCTCGTCGTCGTCGTCGTCGTCGTTGTCGTCGTCGTCGTCGTCGTCGTCGTCGTCGTCGTCGTCGTCCTGGTCTTGATGGTGCGCCTTGGCGCCCTAGATTTCCTCAGCACGCCTGCGACGGACTGCATGCTCCAAGCGGATCCCGCCTCTTCGCCTCTCCCGCGCCCCCCTCCACCTGTGCCTCAGATTCGGCGGCGCGCGAGGGGGGAAGTGAGGAGGAGAAGGCCTTCTCAGACGGCTCGAAAGCCCCCTGGCCTCGAAGACAGAGAACACCTCCCAGAAGCGCGAGGGCTCCTGAGAAATCCAACCGCCTTCTGAGAAGGCCTTCTCCTTCTCATTTCCCCCTCGCTCGCCGCCCAAATCAGACAAGCGCGTTCCACTACTCACGGAGGAACTACTCGCAAATGGCCTGGATCCGCCGCGGGGGGTTTAGGAGGACTGCTTTTGTTTCGGACGTTTGCGAGTGGGCACTTTGCGAGTAGTGGAACGCACTCGGTGATGAATGGGCGCCGCTCGCTCGCCGCCGACAATTCGATCCCTGCGTCTCCCGCCCGCAGCCCGTGCGGTACCCGCGCCAGCCTCTTGCGCCCGCTGGGTCAAAAATTCCTTGATGGCCCCGGAGCCCTGGGAAAGGCCCAGAAAGGCCACACGCCTCTGGACTCTGCTTGTCTCAGGGCGGTTGGAGGACTGGGGGCGTCCTTCGTCGACATTATGAGGCATGCGACTGGCACATGCGTGCCCAGGCTCATGCAAGAGGAACTGCAGCACGTGAGGATCGAAGGGAATTGACAAGAAGAGGATCTCTTTTTGCCCGCGAGGCTCCGGCTGCTTCCAGGGTCTCAAAAAGCAGTGTGGGAGAGAGTCCAGTTGGCCAAGAAGAAGACAGAGCGCCGACAGACGGGCCAAAAGGAGCGAATTATGGATGGTACGGCGAAGGACCACCGAGGCCACGCATCTGGAGCACGCCAGCCAACACCGGATGCATCTCCTATGAGTCTTGCCGCGGACAAACTCCGCCTGCAAGCCATCAGCTCAGACCTCGACGGTCTTCACGCACGCCCTTGTCGGCGAGGCCGCCTCCGTGTGGTCGTCCTCCCCGAGGAGGCCTCCCACGAGGAAGCCGGCCATCTTCAAGTTGCGTACGAAAAAGTTCAGGTATGCCGTTCCCTCACTGGTGCGGCCATGGACCACCTTCAACATGATCTTCCCGAAAGACATCCACTTCGTGCCCGTGTGGGGCTCCCCCGCGCCTGCGCTGAACATAAGTCCGCTGCCAGGTCCGAGCTTGTGGACCTTGGCCTCGACCCACTTGCCCGTAATGTTGATTTTCATGAAGTACGTCTCCGCGCAGGCGCCACCCACCTTCTGGGCGTCGGCCTCCACGCGCACCAGCGCCTGCAACGGGCGCGCATTCATGGGCACGTTGAGCAGGACGTGGGCGCCAGGCTTCAGCACGTCGAAGTGCTGCCCCTGCACGTTGACCAGGTGTGGGTCGCCAGACGCGCTCACACGCAGTTCTGTCGGTGCGGGAGTCGGGGCAGCCGTCGGGGGAGAAAACGGTGACGCCGTCGGTGACGCGGTCGGTGAAGCTGTCGGTGCAGCTGTCGGCGCGCTTGTCGGTGCAGCCGTCGGGGCAGCAGTCGGTGACGCGGTCGGTGAAGCTGTCGGTGCCGATGTCGGTGCAGCTGTGGGTGCACCTGTCGGTGCAGCAGTCGGGGCAGCAGTCGGCGACGCGGTCGGTGAAGCTGTCGGGGCAACTGTGGGTGCACTTGTCGGTGCAGCAGTCGGGGCAGCCGTCGGTGACGCGGTCGGTGAAGCTGTCGGTGCCGATGTCGGTGCAGCCGTGGGTGCACTTGTCGGTGCAGCAGTTGGGGCAGCAGTCGGTGACGCGGTCGGTGAAGCTGTCGGTGTCGATGTCGGTGAAGCTGTGGGTGCACTTGTCGGTGCAGCCGTCGGTGCAGCAGTCGGTGCAGCAGTCGGTGACGCGGTCGGTGACGCTGTCGGTGCCGATGTCGGTGCAGCTGTGGGTGCACTTGTTGGTGCAGCCGTTGGGGCAGCTGTCGGTGACGCTGTTGGTGAAGCTGTCGGTGTCGCAGTCGGTGCAGCTGTGGGTGCAGCTGTGGGTGCACTTGTTGGTGCAGCCGTCGGGGCAGCAGTCGGTGACGATGTCGGTGCAGCTGTGGGTGCACTTGTCGGTGCAGCCGTCGGTGCAGCAGTCGGTGACGCGGTCGGTGACGCTGTCGGTGCCGATGTCGGTGAGCTGTGGGTGCACTTGTTGGTGCAGCGTTGGGGCAGTGGGTGCACTTGTTGGTGCAGCCGTTGGGGCAGCTGTCGGTGACGCTGTTGGTGAAGCTGTCGGTGTCGCAGTCGGTGCAGCTGTGGGCGCGCCTGTCGGTGCAGCAGTCGGGGCAGGCGTCGGTGACCCTGTCGGCGCGACTGTTGGAGATGATGTGGGTGAACTTGTCGGCGCAGCTGTCATGAAGCAGGCGACGCTGTCCTCGTCGACGAAGTAGTTGGACGTACCGGACATGGCAAAGTTGCGGCCCCACTGCTGGACGTACTGGGGCGGCTTGTCCGTCAAGATTTTGAACCCGACGACGAACTCGGATGTGTTAGTGAACTCAACCATGAAGCATCGTTTCGCCTGATCCACGGTGGCGGACGACGCGTCTGGGCAGGTGACGTTGGTCAGGCTGTTCGGGTCCGCCGGATTGTCGCAGCCGTGCCCGAACATCGACGAGGTCACCTTTATCCCGAACTTGCCCCCAGAATTGGCGACGTACATCCTGGAGCTCCTACCAGGGATCGGCGTCTGGACCGAAGTCGTGTTGTAAGTAAGCGGAGCTGGGTTGTTGCTGGTGATGGTATCGTATTCGTACAACTCCATGTCGAAATCGATGTCGCCGTCGACCGTGTAGACGGCGCTGATGCCGTCGAGTATCATAATCTCATTCTCCCCATCCTTGTAGTGGTCAACATCACAAAACGTGATCTTTGGCCGGACTGGGGACTCAGGGCAGAAGGAGTGATTTCGCACAAACTTCCCCTTGAGATTGACAGACTCGCCGACTAGGAGATTCACAGTCGCCGTGGCGCCAAAAATGCTATTCCAATTCGTGTTCCTCGGAACATACAGGCTTGTATTAATGAAGGTGACGTCCAGGGGGGACCCATCTGCGGTTTGTCCAACGCCATAAAACCTAAGCTCATTCGGCATTTGAAACTGCGGGCCAAGCCCACCAAGATTCGAATGATGTGATCTTCCTGGATTTTCCCCGTCGGTGTTGGCGTCCGTGAAGGAAATCCAATCCTCACAGTTATCTTCGAGACGTATGCGTGGCAGGTCTGGGCACTCCTCTGGACACACGCAGCACATTGAAGCAGACGTGAAATCCGAATCGTCATAATACGGGTCGAAGCAGATGCCTGAAAAGGGGTTTTCATAATCGTGCGAATAAGCTTCACACCCTTTGCCAAATCTGTTCGTCGCCCCCGCTGCAGAGTCAACGCACGTTGTTGGCGACGGCGTCGCAACTGCGTGCTTTCGCGCAAGCCATCGTCTCCAAGTGGAGAGCGCGGGAAACGGTGTCAGGTGATGGCGCGGAGGGCTCCTGTTGTGCAACTCGTGTGGCAAGCCCACCGAAGCCTGCACCATGAACACGTCGCACGCCAGAACTTCGAGCGGGGGGTCGGCTCCAAAGACACCTGTGGCGAATGGAGCGCTGGGTAGAATCGACGCAACGACTGCGATCAACATCCGCACCGCGCGGCATTTAGCAGCGCAGGTACACGTCTCGGATAAGGGCATCTCCTCAGTGCAGTATCGGCTGTGCCAGCGCACCCGAGCCCGGCTGGACCCAGTATGATTCTTGAGCCCAAATGGCTACGGATCCGAGGAGGAGGAGGAGGAGGAGGAAGGAGATGGAGAAGTAGAACACGCCGCGAAGGAGGGCACAGCCGGACCCAGGACAACAAAACAGCATCCTACAGGAACACGAAGCTCTCCGCCGGCGGAGCCGAGAGCATTCGCGGGCACCCTCCCCCAGGATGCACACGAACAACCAACAAACACGAAGAACATTAGGCACCCTCCCCAAACCGGCCTCGATCGGTCCAACCGTAATGAGGATCGCCAGGGGACTGTTGGGCGGGAGATGCACCAGCGGGATCGCAGTCGAATGCAGGTAGGGTAGCCACACCTTGCGATGTGTGTGTGTGTGTGTGACGCAGGAGGGTGTTCCACCCCTTGCGATTGCTGTCGAACAATATAGCTCCGAAGCCAATGTTTGGAGGCTGTCTCGAGCCAACCTGTCGTTTCGAAGACAATTTTGAATACGTCGGGTTTCAATGTTGCGGGGATGCCTTATGTGAAACGGCTGTCTTGCTAAGAGCGATCTCGAAATCATCTAAAATTATTGTCTTCGAGAGGTTCATGTTTAAATAAAAAACAATGTGAGTTTAAAGTGGGATGTCGCGATCTGCGTGAGGGGTGCGTCCGACGTTCAGCATTTTGGAAATGCCCCGGCCGAAACGGCCAAAGACATCGCGAACGGGACGGCTTCAATTCATCGCCTCTGAGCTCTACTCCCTCGGAGACATGGGTCAAATCCGCCACCGTGCCTCTGGCACGAAGTGGAGTGCCCCAAGGCTCATGCAGCACTGAGAGGCAGACGCTGTGCTGCTGCTGCTGCTGCAGCGAGGACTGTAAGTCTTGAAGGACCCAGACCAATCATTTCCACGGGTTTTATTGGCTAAGCCCCGTGAGTTCTGAGGTGTTTCCTGCGCCTCCTGTGGACGCTGTGCCCCCCCCCCCCGCCCCAAAGCGACCTCCCGAATCCTGGCATGAGTCCAAGAAGGCCTCGAGACGCCCAACGATCGCTCCAAGACCCCAAGACCTCCGGGACGCCACAAGATGCCTCCAAACGGCCTCCCACGAGGGCCCCACGAAGCATGAATCCTTGATTTTCCTCAGGTTGTTGAAGAATTTGGACGTTCCCGCCGTTTCGGCTTTCCAACACTCCAAGACGGGTCAAGAGGCCCCCAAGATCGCCCCACGACGGCCCAAGAGGCCTCCAAGAAGGCCCCAAGACGGCCCAAGAGCGCCCCAAGATGGCCCAAGAGGCGCCCAAGACGGCCCAAGAAGGCACCAAGACTGTCCCAAAACGGGCCCAAGAGAGGGAACGCGAACCGAAAATCCGAGCCTTCCGCCCCAAGAGGCCCAAGGAGGCCCCAAAAAGCAAAAAGGCCCCCAAGAACCCCCCCCCAAGAGACCCCGAGAGGCCCCCAGGAGGCCCAAAAGAGGCCCCAAAACGGCACCCCAAAGAGGCTTCAAACCTGCCTCCAAGAGGTCCCCAAAAGGCCCCCCACGAGATCTCAACGAACATCCAGTACGCTTTTTACCCACAACCCAGGCACGGTTGCGGGATGGGCCGAAGGCCATTGGATAATACACACATGTAGAGAGATGTATATCTTAGGACGTCCTTTGTCGACATGGCCCGGGTCGCGAACTTGCGGATCTCGCGGATCGCCCTGGTGGCGCGCTTCTTGAACTGCACCTCGGCGGGGGCTCTCCCAGTGAGGGGGGGTCTGGGGCTGGAAATTCTCGCCGCGGCCGCCGATCCAGATCGACCTCATGTTCGAGGGGCGTGGGAAGGGGGGAAGGGAGGGGGGCGGCGGAGGGGAGGGGCGAGGAGTGGGCCCATCCCGTCCCATGGCGCTGCTTTTCTCCTATCCGCCGACGGGTATCATAGCCGAGCTGGCACCCCCAAGAGGGCCCCGTCTTGTGTGCACATTGGAGGAGGGATGGCGGAAGAGCAAGAAGATGGGCAGAAGGAACGATACTGTGATGATGATGATGATCATGATCAACGGCGATCGCCGGCCGCCGTCCCAATCCGATCAAGATGGAAGAGCCGACCGGATAGCCTATCCGGGTGCTCGGGCGCGGCATGCACGAGCCTCCCCCCGAACTCCTGCACGGGTGGACGTGAAGGCCCCCAAGGGCCCCCAGCACCGAGCAACGAGCATACCGTCATGCCCCCTGCCCCCGCCACTGCGCCTCGAGCGTCCCCAGAAGGGCGCCCAAGGCCAGGAAACCCCAGGGGACCTTCCCCCCCGGGCACCTGCTGGACCGGCAACCCCTGCGCCAAGAGGACGCGAGGGGCCTTCGGCCCAGGGATCCCCCCTCTTCTTCGGCCCCAGGGTGGGCGGGATGGGATCGAACCAGCTGTAAACGCCTGCGGGCGGGCGAACAATCAACCATGTGCTCATGATCCCGTACCTCCCCAACGGACCACCAATAACCTGCCAGGGGTCGAGGATCATGATCAACGGCGATCGCCGGCCGCCGTCCCAATCCGATCAAGATGGAAGAGCCGACCGGATAGCCTATCCAGGTGCTCGGGCGCGGCATGCACGAGCCTCCCCCCGCATCTTGCATGGGTGGACGTGAAGGCCCCCAAGGGCCTCCAGCACCGAGCAACGAGCATACCGTCATGCCCCCTGCCCCCATCGAGCGTATTTATTACCTTCGCCGCGCGCGCACACGGCTCTCTCCATCGAACTCACCTTGGAAAAAATTAAGCCAAGCCTCAACAGGGACCCGTTTCAGATCTGCCGGCCACGGAGGCAACGAGACTGTGCGCAGGGGAATCCCCAGCTGGCGCGCAGCGGGGTCAGTGATACCGAGGCGACTTCCGCCGTCCGCAATATTGGCAGCGCTGTCGACGTGCTCCCACCACGGCAGTAATTCCAGAGATGCCGAAACCAAATGGATTGCGTGGACAATTCCGCCGAAATCGACGACGATGCTCGAGCCCTTGCAGATTGCCGATAATAACGGGAGATGGTCCACGAATGCTACCACTGAGGCCCCGCGCAAAACGGGCCGTTCATGATACATGCACAGAAGAGGCGCGAACGCTTCTCCTAGTGCAATATACTGTTCCCGAGCCTCAAAGCTGTCCAATATTTCGTCAGACAAACTAGCCACGCCACCCCACCCCTTCCCAGAAGCATTTTCTAGGAGGATGTAGCACAGCCCGACAAATGGACGCCTGACCGGGGGCCGGACTTCGCAGCAGGCATCCGTGTACAACGTAAACCGGGGCCTCCCGCCAGGGAAAAGGCGAACGACCCTCCATTTCTGCATGGTTGCCAGCGCCAAATGGAATTGAAGCGCGCTGCGCACCCTCCCCCACTCGACAACACCCTGAACGACCTCGTCAAGTACGTTCAACTGGCCCCTGCCCACCCGGCCTTCATACGCATCCGAAAGGCGAAGCAGTTTGCCCCGAAGCGTGCGAGCGCCAGCTGGGGAAATACACTGGTTTTGTAAGGCCCTGCGCAACAAACCTACAACCCCGCCCAGAAAGGTTGAGGTAGGAGACAAGGTAATAGTACCAAGTTGGGGCACGAGCGAATAATCTTCGTTCCACCCCAGGAAAGGACCCTGCGTGGAAGGATATGAGTCCTTTCCTGGATCGAACACCCAACCCAGGAAGCCCACAAGTTCCCCCAAGCACCGAAATGACGATTCAGATATGCCTTCAATATCAGTAATTTTTACGTCATCGTAAAAGCTAATAACTGGAATGCCCAGCCACCGCCTCGCTATGGCACAAAAGTGCAAGGGGGCGCGATTGAAATGATTCACGGCAACACCAATCCCGAACGCCAGGCCCTCGAGCTCTGCGAATACCCAGCAACCGCGAACCCGAGACCAGGCAGCGACGATATGGCATCGAGCGTGGCACTCAGCAACCGAAATTTGCCGGAACGCCTTTCTCATGTCACGCGTGCTGCGCCGAAGCGTCCGCCCCGGGAAAGCCCCGGATAATCTCCGAGCAATGGCAAAACCCATGGATGTACATGTGGTGTGGATGCGTTCCTGGACAGCGTGTGCTTCGTTGTGCCCAGCGGAACGGCCATTGTCAATGACCCTCCACGACCCTTTTGAATCCTCCCAAACAGCAAACCGAACAAGAGGCCGCCACCCTCCCCGCCCGTATTTGCAATCGAGCTGCTCGCGGGTTTGCCACTGAGCAAGAAAACCAAGGTCTTGCTCTTGTTTGCTTTTCTCCCAGATGGCGTCCACCTGCTCGCGAATAGGTTTGGGCATGCTTACCAACCGATCTACATACACGGCGCAACTATCACGAAAAATGCGGAAAGCTTCGTCCCCAGACCCCTGTGGTGGAATATCCGGCTCACGTACGCTCCGATAGATGCCTGTAGCGGGAATGTCGCCCAAAATCCCCACCCCGACCGTGCCCGACCACCCCGGACCTACGTCCGGCCACGCAATGGACCGCGCCGTGGAATCCAAAGCGCCAGGACGCAAATCTGGCGCAGTGTGCCTGGCAGCGGCCGTCCGGCGACCATCGAAAAAACAGTATAGCTCCCGAAGACCTTCACAATGCTTTTTCAAAATGCGCAGCTGTTTCTTTTGCCACGCAGAAAACCCCTGGCCATGGAGTTCCTGCATCCGGCATGCAATCTCCAGGTCATCTGGGGGAGGCACGTTCGACTCCAAAGGGTTTGGGGCGGCCATCCCGCACAGCATGTGCAAATGAGGAGGCAAATCGAAAGGAACCAACCTCTTTCGAGAAACAGCGAACCCCATGGCTTTAGTCTGTACGTTGCCGACAACATATACAGAGTTTGAGGCATGCAGTTCCGCAGGGTCTGGACCAACCACGTTTACTGGCAATCCCCGCCTCTGCCGATCCTGCAGATACGGGCGCGCCTCCGCAAACGCTTGCAAACGAACGGCGAGCGAGGCCAATCAAGTCTCGTAGTCGTCCACGTCGGCGCGGGGCACCTCAACGTGCTCCAAAACCTTCCCCAATGTGGCTCCGTGCCCCTCGTGACCCATGGAAGCAACTTGCAAAGCGCGTCGCCCTGGCGAAGCCGACGGGGCGTCCGGCCCCTGGCCACGCATGGGGCCAGGGAGCAATAACTGAAGCCAAAACTTGACAACCGACACGTGCCAGAGACAGGATATGGCGGCGCAGCGCCTTGATTCAACCTCCTCCGGGGGACGGGCTAAATTGCGTAGTACAGCAGTATAGTTTTCAGGGTAGCCTTGCAGGAGCTCTCGTTCTACTGCCAAGAGGCCCCGGCGGCCCCCAGGGAAGTTGGCGCAGACGCTGTTGGACCCTTCTGGTGGTCTCCTCCTCCTCCTCCGTGCACTGCTCCCCCCCCACCGACCCCCCGAGCCCAACCTGCGAGGAGGCGTGTAGAGTCTTCCGGGAAGTGGATGCCCCCCGCCGCTGGCACGAGCTCAGTAGCGCCCGCCGGCCCCGCCCTCGCCCCCACGCTTCCCGGGAACGCCGGCCGGGGCCAGACCCGCCACAGCCTGGGCCCAGGCACCGGCGCGAAGTGTTGGGAGCACAGGAGGTAGGGGGGGTGGTCGAAGAACCCGCCCAGCTCGCCCCAGCCCGTGGACTCCCCGAAGACGCCGGAGACGAGGAAGGCGAGACGAGAGGGGATAGGGAGATCATGACGAAGATATGATAATAATTTTACCACGCAGTCATCATAAGGCCCTGCTTCTGCGGCGAGAACAAAGAAGGCGCCCCCGTGCGCCGCAACCAGCTGCGACACCAAGGATTCAGTAATCCCGCGCACGTCGCCCATGACATGTGCGCGGGGGCAGTTTGCTTCCCCGACCAGGAGTGCGTCGCCGGGCGCGCCCCATAAGCACACCGCAGAGACGCCCCAGCCAAGCGCCTCCGCAGCGGCCAACAGGGGAGCACCGGCCACCATGACCTCGAGGAGCACAGCCGGGCGACCGCCGCGCGCACTACCATCCGAGACCCCATGCCCGGAGGACGGCGCAGCATTGCCACCGTGCGACTGCGGCTCCAGGGGCCGCCCTGCTTGCTCGCAAGGGCCCCCGCCCCGTCAGGCAGGGCGCAGGTAGCCGTGCGTCTTCTCGTCGTGGTTGGCCGGCTTGTGGCGCTGGCCGCACGGGCGCCCGGACTTCGCAAGCACCAGGTTGCAGCCGTGCGCCTCCCCTTTCGGGCACCGGTCCTGGCACCTGCCCTGGAGCCAGGCAGAGCAGAACCGGACCCGGCCCTTGCCCGACGACTCGAAGTGCGACGCCGTCTGAGCCCTGCGGTAGTCCCCCAGCGGGTAGAACTTAGTCTTCGCATTGCCGTCGCGGCGAATGCTGCGGCTGCGAGACCGCCGCGGCGCGGGGGGGCGCGGCGGCGGCTGTCGGGAAGGGCCGTCCCCAGTGCCGCGGGCGCCGCCTCCCTTGCCCCACGTGCGCTGCTGCTGGTCGGGAATCCGCTGGAGGACGTCACGGTGCTCCTGCCACACCTCCGCGTGCTCCTTGATGGCCCACCGCAAGGCCGGGCCCCAAGCCATGGGGTCTACCCTTTTGCGGACCTCCCCGATGACCTTGCCCCGGAGCTCCTCCTCGACCTTCTCGAGGTACGACAGGACAGAATCCTCCGTGTAGCGGTCAGTGAGAGGCTCCACCTTGCTCCGCAGGCGGGCGACGTACCAGCGCGCATCCTGCCAGTGGCAGAACGGGGCCTCCCGGTCG